TTACGCTGTCTCGTCACTCGACTTCCGTACTACTGCAGGCAACAGCGCCGCCTTCAGCGCGTCTCTCATCGCCGAACTTGCCAACGACATGTACAGTCGCGTCAGCAACTGGAAGAGCAGCCTACCTTAGAGCGGGCAGCTGCTGCTCGACGCTACTATATTCAGCAAGATCTGAGGTGTTATTTAGTTTGAAAGTTTCCGTTGACATACGATTGATTTTTAAATATTCCTTAATTCGCTTGCGAAAATATTTATATAACTTCCCAACACTCTTAATCTATAAAAGTGTAGTGCATGTAGAGCTTTGGGACGGAAACTCAGCAATGCAGACGGCATCTTTCAGCATGCGGATATGCATCTATAGCTTCCTCTTGCTCGTTAAGAAGCATCAACATGCTTGATGCAAAGAAATATCAGCAATAAGGGTAATCATTCAAAATTCACCTTTGGTGTAAATCAGTCGAATTTTGGTAGTCCATTAAGTAATTACTTAACATATGTTGAATCTGAGGAGATAATTGAATAAGAAATAAAATAAGTCAAAGCGGATGGAAACAGGTCGAAGCATAAAAGGAAGTAGGTGGAAATCAAAAAATACAAAATCGAAGATGCTGAAAGCGAATAAAAAGTCGCAAGACTAAGGGAGGAATAGAGGGAGACGGTTTCTGGCAAATAGGGATATATAGATCTATTATAAAATGGAAATTAATACTTATAAAGATAAATAAAATCTAATGAAAATAAGGGCTATGTCATTGGATCATATATTTTAAGGAGCTGAGCAAGGAACTTTTAAGAATTGTATGCTGAAATGAGAATTGTCAAGTAATGGATTAAATGCAACAAAACAATCAAAGCTCAAAATTCAGAAATTATATCAATGCAATAGATGATTAACAATTTAATATCCTATATAAAAGCATACTATCAATCCATATATTCCTTCTCTGGGCATCCTTAGGGCCTGAAAATATTCCTTGCTAAGGCATTATTCCTTCTCTATGACAACATAAGTTCGCTGCTATATAAGATGTAGTGTCGAAACTATAAGTTCGCTTGCCTTCAAAAAGCACTCCAGCATGTTATAAAGGTTTTGTTAGTATCTAAACAAATACTAAATTGCACCTCAAAATATCGAACATCTCTTAAAATAAAGAGGTAAAATCACACCTATTTGTTAAACAATCTAACAGCACACCATCTTTAGATCCTGCTTTCACTCCATTTGCTAGCAGATAATAGCTTTATTGGAAGAATTTGATAAAGTTGAAAGGGTCCTAATCTACTCTCGCCATCCTTAAAAGTTATGTAAATATTTCATTAGTAAAATTCACAATTATTGTTTCAAACTCGATACCAAACATGCTCCTAGGAACACGAATTTCCTATAATAAATGTTTAGGAGTATATCGACAAGTTGTAAATGTTATTTTCGGGATTTCTATTCGTCTTAGTTACGGCCCATACTAAATCCAACTACTCAATAAAAATAAGCAAATGGGAACAAATTATAAAGCTGATAAATTTTATCTATTAAGCAGATGTACGTCTATTTTATAGTTAAGGAGAGGTTCTTCTCGGCATAGTCTTCGCCTCCTGTTTCGCAAAAGGATGATAGGCCAATGCTCGTAAATATATCTACTGTCTGTACCTAAGGGCCAGACTTGACAAGTTCTACTTAGATGACACTTGTTTACTCTATGCTTTCTTACTTAGAGTAATTCGGCATTCTTTTTTCCACTGATTGCAAACCATTTACTATGTCACATACAGGTTATGCTCACCTCTAGGACCTGGACTAAACTTTGTTAACTAGCACCTTACATAATGTAAAAATTAGCATTTTAATTATGCAAAAATAGATTATTAGCAAAGTAATCTAATAAACGCTTTATTAATTAGGCTTTACCTTTAAACATGCTGCATGGAACAAATTTTATGGTTTCGTAGAATGTCCTTAAATCTTGTAACTCTCTCCTGAATGGTTCCTGAAGTGGCGCACGATACTTGTATCATTTGTAAAGAATGGAAATGATTTGGAAGCCTACGTATTCAAACGTTCGCATGTAATCTATTCCATCTTCATCAAAAATCTGCACTAACTTCAGATATAGATTATTTCCAAAAGTTTGTATGAACAAATTGAAATTTCAGTGGTATTAGATTTATAAGTTTGTTAGGCACTTCTTCTAGTGACTAGAA